CGCGCGTAGGCCCTGGGGAGGGGCGTGTGGAGCCCATGCCCCCGCCCCCCCCCGAATGTGCACGTGGGGTGAGGGCCAGCTGTCACTGAGGGCTGGGCTCTTCCTGGTGGATGGAGCTGGGCTGGGGCTGCACTCAGGGTGGGCAGCAGTGGTGCTAGGAGGGGAGTTTCAGGGTGGGCTACAGCCACTCCAGAATTTGACATAGCCCCCACACAGTTCTGCCACCACCTGCCCCAAGCACAGCCCTGGCCCAACCCTCCTGCCAGGAAGAGCCCAGTGCTGCCCCCAACCCACAGAGGCAGCCCGCCCTCACCCTGCACACAGGGCTGCACCCAGCAGTGGGAGCCACCCCCCAGCCCTCCCCATGCCTCCTGGACAAGCTGCTTGTGGCTCCGTCCCACCCCAGCTGGGCAGCACCTACCCTTGCCCCAGCCAGACTCCCTCCCTCACTGTGGGGGCCTCAATCTACACCCCCCACACACACCCCTTTCCTCGCCCCTTTTCCCCAACAGACTTACCAACCGGACACTGCTATTCAAGCTGCCAGGCTGTATATTGGCTATCGGATCGGTACCAGATGATATGGCTCATTAATAATCAACCATTGGTATCGACCCAAAAATTCTTAATCAGTGCACCTCTACATGGAACGGGGTGCTCAACCTTTGGCCCATGGATCATTGGCATCCGGCCCATGCGGCTCCCCACAGGTTGGGAAATTTGGTGGCAGGACAGCAGTGACAGCTAATAGTACCACCTCCCCTCGCTGCCAAACTCTGGCTTGGCCATGCCCCCTTCCACCACATGGCTGAATTAGGGCCAGGCTGCCCCCTCCTCTCTTCCTCATGGCTGCAAGGAGCCCTGCCATGTTTGCCCTGGCCCACTGGGCAAAAAGTCTGAACAACACTAGCTTAAGATACCACATCACTTTACATTATATGTAAAATACTTTCATCACAACCCCAGCAAATAGTTCTAGGTTCAGTATGATAAACTAATTAGGGTTTACATGGACAAGTTTTGTTGACTTTAACGCACAAGATGTTTTACAAACACAGGCTCAAACATACAACTCCCACTGCATTCACAGCATGCTTATTTTTAAATCAGTTTGGCCCTTAACTCAGGCTCATATAGTGCACATGACACTTCTCAGGAAGATGGTCACTGCCAGCTGGAGGGTCAGAATTGCCACATGTAATTTAAAAGGTCATTTTAAAATACAATTTCACAGTTATATTTAGCAAAGAGGATGTCTCATCTGCTAAGTAAATGTATATTAATTATTTTTAGAAAAAACTCATGGAAAGCAAGACTAATAAACTATAACCTTTCAATTGGAAAACTGCAACACTACATTTTGTTTGAAAGCAATAAAATGTCTGATGCCAGCATGTGCCAAATTAAACTAACCCAAGGTTATATGAAAAGTTACATGCTACCCAGAGCATACAGAAGTCAAGGTTAAGCAAGAACCAAATCTTTCAAGATTCATTAATTCAGCACAGTCAAATAAGACAAACTTCTGCTTGTATCAAAAAAAGTGTTAGCTCATTAAGAAAAAAAAAAATTGCTTAAAAGCTATATGGTTTGATGAGGAAGTAAACATTTCCTACCCACCCTCTTGCAACAAAACAAACATATTCTATGTCCCTTAACTCTTTACACAGAATACTCACAAGTGCAAGAAGTATATGCATAAATGGTCTGCATCTATCATTTACCTATACTGTCTGTCCATCAGCTCTAAATCGCTTGTACTGACACACCCAGAAGCACACATCCTTAGAGCTATTACAGAAATATTCAGACATACACTTTATTTGCTGTGTCTTTTGTCACTATGCCAGCTATTCTTCAAGACCTTCAACTTGTTTTGGCTTTCAGGGAAGGTTTTTCGCCAGCCAAAGCATCCTTTCCCAAATCAGGTAAAAACACACATTGTTCGTTTTCACATAATATCAAAATACCACCATTCAGATTTTCAAACACTCAAGGTTAGAAGCATTTTCATTTGTTATGCATGTCACATGCAATATATTCAGCACATTTTTCCATAGTAAAGAAGTTCAGCTGCTAATATTGCGTTCTATATGCTCACAATACATGCAACAATATCTGGCCTGTTTGCTTCTTGCACATGCAAGAATTAAATCATAAGTTAACACTCTACAGGTCTAAGCTCTAAGTCTAGCTATTCTCTACTGTGTTATCCAGTTTTGTCAGTCACTAGTCTACACTCCCATACACATACAAAGTTATATTTGGGTGCTGTTCTGATCACTGGCCTTTAATGTAACAGGTTTGAGTTTTCATAAAATAAATGATAAATTGATTAACACTGTAAAATTGTTGTACGCTTTACAGTAAGCTTCCTCAGACGCCTGTATTGCAAGTGTCAGCAAGAAGCTACAATAATTTTCTCAAGAACTGGCCAGCCACTCACTTTTGGACTACAAGACTTGAAAAGAACAAGAGTTCTTCTAAGTTCTTCAATTACTTGCAAACTACCTGCTGTTAGTATCCACATTTTTAGTACCCATTTTCCCCCAGTGAGTTGTATCAGAGATCACTGCAAGGTTTACAATTTTTTGGCCACCATCTTGTCTAGCATGCAGGCTGGATCAGGCTGGCAGCCATCTCCATTTCCCAGCAGCCCCTGCAGCAGCAGCTCCTTCTGGCTGTCACTCCCAGCCACCCTGAGCTGTCTATCTGGCTCCCACGGCTGGGGGCGGAACCCGCGCAGGCAGGATGCGTGGCCGGGCAGCCGGGATGGGGCCACGGCTGGGAGCGAGACTGGCAGGTGGGGCAAGGGAGTACCCGGTATTGGGGCAGTGACAGCACGAGGCTGGGACAAAGCTGCAATCCACTGCCCACACGTCCCTACAACGAGCATGGGTTCTGTAGACAAGGGCGTGCAGGGAATGGATCGCGACTCTGCCCCGGTGCCATGCTGTCACCACCCCAAGAACCCGGCCTCAGCCCCAGAGCAGCTCCACACCCATCCATGCACCCTGCCTACATGGCTCCTAGCCAGTCTCCATGAAGATCATGGGGCCATGACAACACAAGGCCAATGCAGAGCCCCAGTTCTGTGGCTCCTCCATGGAAACCAGACAGGAGCCACGTAGGCATGGGCTGCTGGGAAACGGAGTAAGCTGTGGGCCAGATCTGCCATTTTGGCCACCCCTGCATTATAGGTTTCACTACCTGTCAACTCATGTTTACCCAAGTGCAACAACCAACAGACCTGTCACAGTACCCGAGAAGCTTCACAGTTTCCAAAACACAGAGAAGGAGACTGGCTAGTTAGTGTCAGTGTGCATTGTTTTTATATGCTCATGAGGAAGCACAAGTGCAGATCCTGAACAAGTTGCTAGGGGTCCTGAGTATTCCCATTCATAACACTAACCACGCTAAATGATGGCTTGCTGGCTCAAAGCACTGGATTACTATTTTTTCCTGATACTGTAGTTAACCATGTCAGCATTTTCTTTATAAAACCATGATTACAAGGCTTTAAATCACTGAACTGTAAACGTTTAGTGATATTTAGTCTACAAAGATTTCAGGTCAACCTAAAAATCATGAACTCTTTAGTACCTTTCATAAGTAATCGGATTTCACCGGCCAAATACACAAAAGCAAACAATCCGATTTCAGATGCTTCGCTAAGTTCCTGCATAGTTATTTTAAGCATAAAAACCTGCCTTACTTTCGCATCGTATCAGAAATCTGACACTGTACACGGGATTGCCGATTCTGAACTGAGGCGTGATCCTGTATTTCAAAGGTTTTGCCGTTTTAAGGCTAGCCTCTAAGATGACAGTGTGTAGCACGTTTGGATTCGTATTAATAGAATCCATGTTGCTTATCTCAGACCTCCAAGGGTTGCCAAGAGAAGTTTGGGAAGTGTCAGAGCAACTCCCACCGAGCAGAGAGGAGGCGGCAAACAAGGACCCATTTTGACCTTGCAAAAGTGGCAAACCTGGAGGAAGCTTCCCAATCACAGCAGCGATCTCAGGAGATCACAAACCACACCCAAGCACCAGTCCTGGCCCAACGTTTTAGCTGAGCTCCTCGCTCTGCCGAATGACTTTCAGATACCGACGCGTGCTGCTTTTCACAATACAAGTTATCGCTCGACACAAGGACAGGCTCTTGCTTTAAAGGTGGACAGAGGATGCACGAAACAGGACTCGGCCCCGCTGCCTGGCTGACCGTCTCGGCGGCGGGCCCGGGCTCGCGCCCACCCAGCGAGCAGGAGGCGGGGGAGGCGGCGGTACCTGGTGCAGCGCCGTCAGCCCGTCCACGTTGGCCGTGTTGACGCGGGCGCCGCGACCCAGCAGGCGCTTCACCTCGTCCGTGTCGCCGCTGGAGCAGGCGGCCAGGAACACGGCGCCCTCCTCGAAGCGGACGCGGGTCCCCCCGGCGCGGT